TTTTTTTTTTTTGACTTGTACATGTAAGGAATGGAGATTTTTACCTTCACTATTGCCCCATATATCTCCTAATGCCTCATTGATATGCTCCTGCATCAACTTGCATTCTATCTCTCTTGTTAAGACACTTGGCCCAACTATCACAGATCACAAGAAGAAAAGGAAGATACCTCTACTTACGGCTACTCTGGTTGAGTTTCTTTTTGGTGACGTCGATAACAATACGTCTGGGATCGGTGACCATCCCAATCCCTTCCATGCCCGGGTATCCTCCAAAGTATTCCTTGATGAACCATGTCAGCGTCAAATTTTTTTTTTTTCTTTTATTTTCTAGCTGTCTTGGAGGAATTGGAGTTTTACATTATGAACAAGGGCCTGATGGTCCAGGTCCAGACAGCCCTTTAGCCATTCCGTGTAAGTTGGCGGAAGTATCACTCTGGACCCGAGGGCGGTGATAATCCTAAACGGCCCATTGAACTACTCTCAATCAGCCCATGGGGTTTTTCTAGAAGCGGATAGATGGCTAGTGTACTTTTCTGATACCCTCCTGGATTAAGCTCCTAGAGTTCAAGAGGTATTGCTGGTGAGCTTTCTTCTGACCCAAGTCCCAGGGGTATGAGTTGACGGTGGGTATCTGGTCGGCTGTTGTGCTGCATGACCAACTGAGCAAGCCGACAGCAAACGCGATAACGACTGCGAGTGAGAAGGTCACCACATAGCTATCTCCCTCGGCAGACAACATTATAACTAATAATGTGGCCAGCTATGTGATGGAGATACTTCTATCAGCTTTTTGTTTGTTGATATGCCGAGGGCAATGTCCCAAAGGGGTTGCGTCATAATGAATCATCCAGCTAGTCAATCAAACTAGTACGTCCTATAAATAACCCAGCAATAACACAGTGCGTTTTACTAATCCATCCATTCCGTAAGTAAAGAAGATAAGCGTGTATGTATGTAGCTAAACAGAGCTCACATCTCCATCGACTTGGTAAGTTTTCATCTGACCAAGATTACTACGCGCAAGTATGTAACTAGTTATGTATGTACATCCTGTGGCAACCGTGACATAGTTTGATGTCAAAAGTAGCCGGTCTCAGGGACACACCGTTGGCTAGCCGGACTTATTTCCGTAATACTTCAAGCAGCGAGGCTACCTCTCTTTTCAGCCATCCAATTCAAAATAATCAATAATATCTACGACCATGCTTCGAGTCCTTCCTTTCACTGACAAGCAGGAAGCACAAAGTCGAGGGATGACATAATCAATCAACAACGATCACACGTGACTCTTACATATCCATTTGGAACACGTAACGGAAGGGAAGAGCGGTAATTTATTTCTCGCTCGCCTGCGCTCTTTTGACTTACGTGGTCAAGGGCCTGTGGTGGTACCCTCTCCTGCTCCATACCTCGGGATCGACTCTGCTACTTAGTGCGGTTTTTGATGTAATAATGGAGTATCAGGACGCTAGGTAAGGCAAGTGTAAGAAGGGGGGAGCAAGGCCCAGCAGGTTAGAGTCGCACTATGTGGTGTAAGAGTAGGTGTGTATGTGTATGTATGGTGTGTTATGGTGTGTTATGGTGTGCGTGGTGTGTGTGTGTGTGAGTGCGGTGGACGAGTTACAGGACACAGCGGCCAGAGGGACCCCCCCCGACCACCCCGACCACCCCCGACCCCCCGCCTGCCTGACCTGACTACTGCGGGCGATCGGGGCTGGGCCGGCGTTTCGAAACGAGGCAGGCCAACCCAGGCCGGACATGGCTGCGTGATGTGATGGTGATGGGCGAGGTCGAGAGTGTACGAAGCAGCGCGAGAAGGACAGCTGATCCTGATCCATCACATCAACCCTCCCGTACTATCTGTATCTCTGTATCCTGTAACCTGTTATCCTCGGTAAGGGCCTGTATCTCTGGTACGGGCTGTCTCAGCGAAGCGGGATGTACCACCCAAGAGGAACTCCGCAAGAGGTACTTGGTCCCCGTACTGTAACTATGGGAGGGACAATACGCCCTTCTTTTTTTTTTTTTTCTTCTTATCTTACTGTTGCCCCCAGCAGACGGCGCAGGACTCGCTGTAACCCAGCTGTACCCTGCGGTAACAAACAGCCCCTTACGCTGGCTCTGCGCGCCGCTGCCCGCCAAGGTGCATGTGACGCTGCCGTATCTTACCTTACCTGACAGTACCGTAATCCGGCTTCCTTCCCTGGCCTCGCTTCCTGCTTCCTGCCTGCTAGCCTTCCCCTTACCTGACCGTACCGTACCTCTCCCTGCCCGTCGCAGCGTAAAGGAGAGCGTCACAGCGTGGTAACTGGTAACAGCCTGGTAACAGCCTGGTAAGCGTCAGGTAAGCGTCAGGTAAGACGCAGGCAGGCCAGGCCGCAAGCAAGCCAGCCCAGGCCGCCCGCCCACCCGCCCTTCGCCTTTTCCCTGCCCTTTCGCCCTCGCCCACCTCTCGCTCGCTCACTCACTCACTCTCTCTCCCTCTCTCTCTCTCCCTCACCTCTCGCTCACCTCTCACCTCTTCTCACCAAAACTCCCTCCCATACAAAAACCACCACCAAAAAAGGCTCGCCCATACTAACTGCGCTTCCCACCACGCTTTTTATATACACTCGCACACCTCAACTATACTCAACGTCCAGCACCAGAGGACGTTCCAGGTAAGCTTGCTGCTCTTCTGCCATCTTCTGCGACTCTCTCGCCCTCCATCTCCAGCCCGTTTCTCTGCTTCTCGTTCTTGCTTGCTCGCTCGCTCGCTCTACGATCTATATAGATCTATACCAAAGCACCAGACTCCTGCCTGCACGCAATTCCGTCGTCGCAAAGCTCTGCTGCTCTGTTTATTCCTCTGGATCAGTCTCGTCAACGTCTCTTTTTCACTTTCTGTTTTTATTATTATGATTACTTTTCAGTGGTCGCCTTTTTTTTTTTTTGTCTCTCTTCGGGCCTTGCTCTACGTGTTTTTTCACCACCACTGCAGCCAGCCAGTTCGCTGCTGCTTGACTACACGCTCAAACAGCGCGTCTGATGGTGTAAAACACGTCGCATCCTCCTTCTCATCGCTGTTGTCGCTTTCTCGAGCTCGTTTTCACTGTGGTTCGGACGTGCTTCGGACGCGACTTGGCCTGGAGCTTTTTCCCTCTTCCCTCTTCCCTCTCTTTTTTTCTCCCTCTCTCTCTTTCTCCTTCCAACCTAGCGCGCATCACCCACTATAAGACTCTCCCTCCACAGACTCGACGTCCCGGCTAACAAAGACCCCTCCCACTCCAGACTCTCAAGTCACCAATATAAAGACTAAAACAGTCAAGATGCCTAAGGAGAAGACCACTACCCGCAAGACCAAGCGCGGTGTCGAGAAGAAGAAGAAGGGTAAGCTCATTCTCTCTCTCACACTCTGGCAACCCCAGGCAATGGCTAACAGGTGGACGGTAGACCCCAATGCCCCAAAGCGCGGTCTCTCTGCCTACATGATCTTCGCCAATGAGCAGCGTGCTGCTGTCCGTGAGGAAAACCCAAACATCACCTTTGGTAGGTCATCATTTTTCTTTTCTCTTGTTTTCGTCAAGAGAGAGATATATAAAGAAACAGAAAAGAGACTAACTTGTCCGTGTAGGCCAAGTTGGCAAGGTCCTCGGAGAGCGATGGAAGGCTCTGAGCGACAAGCAGCGAGTCCCCTACGAGGAGAAGGCTGCCACCGACAAACAGAGATACGAAGACGAGAAGGCCGCATACAACGTAAGTCCTTTTCTCTTTTCCCTTCTCCCCTCGCCCAGTATAACCAGACTAACATAAACCAGAGCCGCCAGGATGATGAAGAATCCTCTTAAAACGAGAAGAGAAACCAGACATGAAGGTGAAAAAAAGGCAACATTCTGCATAGTTGCTCTTAAAAGACCATGTCTTCTCTCCTGTATTTGCTGGTGATTGCTTGCTTTGCTGGTTACGTCGTCTGTATCTGTTATACCGTTTAATCGCTCTCTTGTCTCGCTCGTCAAGGTTGTCTCCCTTTCGTCACTTTCCTCTTTCCTCTTTTCTCTTTCATTCAAACGGCTTTTCTTCTGGGACGGACGGTATCGATGGGGGTTTCATGGTTCCAAAGCTCTATTATGTATTTTCATCATCCCACCTTGAGTGTTCCCCCCTTACCTTGACTGCTTCTTTTCTTTTCTTTTCTCCAGGCATCGGCTCGCCGTCGATGTTTTGACTTCTTCGCTTCTCTCTCTCCGCCGTTCTTATTTCCACACCATTTTTAAGGACAAGTAGTAGGGGGGGAAAGGTTGTGCTTTTCTTGTAACTCGCTCACGAATTGTATCACGTATTTTCTCTGGGGATTTCTCTGCCCGTCTTATCGTCCAGTCTTATCATCACTGACTGCCAGAAAGGGAAAAAGAAAAATGCAAATGAACGTCAGCGTCAACGTCAACATCAAGCACCCGTCTCTTGTTCAGGTCGTCGTCGGCGCCTCGCCAGCATCGAGAGAAGGAAGGGGAAAAAGAAGGAAAAAAGGCGAGAAATTAGGGCAACAAGGAAGTTTTAACACGTCGACTTCCACGTGATTAGCATGACTAAGCTGACAACTCACACCTGCAGCCTTGACCATGTGATCGCCGTTTTGGGCAGTCAAGGCGACTTCGTCCTTTTTCTCGTCTGCGGCTCAACGGCCAACACGCTGCAACTCTCACTTGTCAGGCCGGCCATACAGACAGACAGACAGACATGACAGCTGGATACCCCCTGAAGGCGCTGGCGAGAGCCTGACGATATGACAAGGGCGAGGGCGAGACCCTGGTGGTGATTAAGTTTGTGTGTTTATAAAGGGCCGTCGTGGGCTGCTGCCCTGGGAGGTTCTTAGCTGACTAGTGGAATATATACCCTTGACAACCGTACAGCGGTGTACTGCACCTTTTTTACTTGATACAAAGCACTCTCTTGACTTTCTCTCGCCATCCTCTCTAACAAGAGCCATTGTCGACAGTTA